CTACTTTAACTCTAAATTTTATTTTATCTATATTTAAAAATTAAAACAATTAATATATTTCACCTATTTAATTAGTCCCACCTATAAGTAATTCTTAATATATCAAAGAATAAATTAACTCTCATTTAATTTTATTAAATCAAATCTCACCTACTATAACTATTTCGCTCTTTTTTAACTTACGAAGGATTCAGTTAAATTGTGTTTAATTTTATTAAATCAAATTTAATCATAATAAACTAAATTTAAACAAAATTAGACAAAATTAAAATGATTTTCTGGTTTCATCTTCCTTGACCTTCATCATTTCCCCTAGCTCTACCCCTGTCTATCCTCCTCTCCTTCACCTCCATCCTTCTCTATTTTCTTCTTTCTTTTTGGTTGGATGATGAGAACCTGATTTGGGTTCTCATTCTCCCAAATTTGATCCAATAGAACAAGGAGTATTGGAGCCTAATTTTTGAAATACATTCTCCCAAATCTCTGGTCAATAATCTCTCAAACTCCCTTCTTCCTTTTTTTTTTTTTTTTGTTCATTCCTCAAAGAAACTCTTGTAAGAACCCAAAATTTTTCACTAAAAAATCCAACAAAAATCCAACAGTAATAATGGGGGATGAGAGAAGTGATGGATTTGGGAAAGAAGGGGGAAGAATCCACAAAACCTTAAACCCGTTGATCAATCTCAAATTTAGTCCCTTTGAACCCTAAACATAGGCGCATCCATGGAATCTCACAAGCTCAATGATTTAGGTTCCCATTTTCCTTCTTTTTGCAAGATTTGAACTTATGAAAAACCCAGATTTGGTTCTCCTAATGAGAACCCACCTAGGTTTTGAAGGATTTAGGTGGGTGTTTGGCTGACATTAGAATCATAGGAGGAAAAAAAAAAATAGACAGTGATGATGAATGATGAAAGAAAGGAAACAGTGGATGAAGAGTTCATTGGAGGAAAAAAAGGGTAGGACGACGATGATCGAAGAGGATAGAGAAATAGCAGAGGTTTTCAAGAGGGAGAGAGAAAAAAGTTGGAAATGGTGAAGAATGGTGAAGGGATGATTAGAGTTGAGAGAAAGGAGCTAGAGTATAAAGATAGGGTATTTAGCTAATTTTGTATTTTTAATGCATTAATTAATTAAAATTATTTAAGTGTGGTTGTAAAATTAAGCGTGGATGTAAAATTAAGTGTGGAGTACTTTTGGACGTAGTGAAGAGTTGACTCTCCATGTGAAGAGTCAACTCTTCACTGAGACAGAGTCGACTATATAAGGTCAAGAATTGACTCCCAAATTCTAGAGAGTGGAGTTATTTTGGATGTTAGGCAGAGTTGACTGTCAATGTAAAGAGTTGACTCTTAAAGAGAAAGAGTTGATTCTCATTTTTAACAATCAACTCTTAACAAAAAAATATTTTATATTTCTATCTAAAATATTTATGTAAACTCAAATATGTGTCCACATTAATTTTTTGAATAGTAAATAAAATCCTACTAATGTAATTATATTAACTAATATGTTAAATGTTAAGTAATTAAAATCTACTAAGAAGTTAAATTTTTTAAAAATAACTTTTTAAAATATATGAATCAAAAAATGGGCGGGAGATGGTAATTTGAAGTTTTAGCAATATGGTACACGTTAGTGATGGGTTATGATATTTCAAATTTGAACAACTTTTAGCAACATGAGATATGTTGCTGATTGGAGGGCAAACCTTTTAGCAACATGATACATGATGCTGAATGTTCTATATATACTCCACCCCCACTCAACCCCCACCGAGCTGAGCAATTGTTTCTCCCCCATTTCCTTCCTTCTGCAATTCCTTCTGCACACATGATATTCTCTCTGAATGCCTCCTCCATTTCTCAACCTTTTTTTTCTTCATTTTTGCACAAATCCTCTATATCTCACTCATTTTCTATTCATTAATTATATCATATATTTCTTTGCTTTTATCATAAAATTCCCATACATATATTATTAATTAAATTAATTTTCATGAACTTCTTCGTTTTCTTGAAGCATATATTGTGATTTTATTGTATTCAATATTTTTATGACCATTAAGTGATTAAGTATGCTTTAATTTATTTGAAAATTAATAAAATTATAAATGACTATATATTATTTTGGTTTTTTTATTTGTTTTTTAGGTAAATCTCAATGAAATAAATAAATTCAAGTTTTGGGCGCTCCCTAAACCGATCACCGACGTGGAACATCTTGCTAATTAGCATGAGGAGACTCTTTACAACACAATCAGCAATAAGGAACATGTTGCTGAAAGAAGGATGGTTTACTATTCACAGAGTGATCAACATTAAGAGATAAGTTGTTGAAAATAGGGTGGCTACTATTCATTAGATTATCAACAACAAGAGTCTTGTAGCTGAAAATAGGTGGGCTTACAATTCATTAGATTATCAACAATAAGAGTTATGTTGCTGAAAGTAGGTGGGCTTACTATTCATTAAATCATTAGCAACAAGGATCATGTTGCTAAAAATAAGGTGTTATATTGTTCAGTGAATTATCAGCAATGAGGGACATGTTGAAATGGGTGCACAATTCCGGTGGACAATTCTAATAACCATTTTTACCAACATAAACCATGTCAATGATAGTATAGTTTCAGCAACAGGGAGTATGTGGCTAAAAAGGGTGAAAAATTTTGATGGTCGGCTCTGGTGAATTTTTTAGCAATATAAACACATTGGTGAAACTCCACTTTTAGCAACAAGGGGTATGTTGCTGAAAAGGGTGCCATGAATCAGCAATGTGGACCTTGTTGCTAATGTATTACTAGGGGTGGGCATCGGTATAGTATCGTACCGATTTTAAATTGTACCGATTACATTTGGTTCTTTAATCTTGTACCGAGTACCGACCCAAATATGTTTAATCGGTACATTATTTGGGAATCGGTACTCGGTATTTATAAAACAGAAACCAAGTACCGACCCAATGTGTACTAGCTACAATTAGTCCTATTAAATGGTACAATATCGACCTGTGTTATTGTTTTTTATATTTAACTAAATTACTTTTTAAAATTGTTAAAACTAGCAACATAACATTACTAAAATTACTTTAATAAATCTTCTTATATGTAAAAAAGCTGGTATAATAGATAAAAAAAATTATTCTCAACACTTTAATCAACGTTGCTACAAACATGATAGCCAAAAATCTATAAACATCCATTGTCCATGAAATAAATCATTAATTCAACACCTTATGCAATTTTGCAATTGTGGGAAACAAAATCAGTAGTAGCAGTATTTATAGCAACAACTAGCAGCATTTGCAGCAAAAAGTAACCCAAAAAACAAATCCAAAAGCAATATTTATAATAACAGCCAACAACATTTACAAGCTTGCAGCAACAAGCAACTGAAATAGCAACAGCTAGTAGCATTTGCAGTAATAAGCTACCCAAAAACCAAATCCAAAAGCAGTATTTATAGCAACAGCTAGTAGCATTTGCAGCAACAAGCAACCCAAAAAACAAATCCGAAATTTCACATGCATAGCAGCAAATGTCAACCATCTAGAAGTGATGAACGTAACTTCTTCCTATATTCTGCAAATCATGAAATCCAATAATAACATTTAGCCAAAATAACATAATTTTTAAAATCAGAATTTAAATGGTGGACAATTTATTTTTAAAAATATTAAACTTACCTGCTTCCGCTTCCTCTAATTCATCTAAATCTTCACAATCAAGAGTAATATTGACATGTTTTCTTTTTTTTTTCCTTAGCCAATCTTGTGTGAATACTAGAGCTTGTGCCATCTTAGGAGTTAAGGAACTCCGAAAGTCATCTAACACACGACCACTTGTGCTGAAAGCTGATTCAGATGCCACTGTTGAAACTAGATTAGCTAAAATATCTCGTGCCATTGTTGCAAGAACAGGAAATCTCCCACTCTTAAGCCTCCAAAATGAAAGAACATCATAAAATTGAGCATCATTTTCCATGATTTCTAATTTATCTTTGAGATAGATGTCAAGCTTTGATTGCTCATTCTTTTCCTGAGCTGCCTTTGATAAATATCTTCTGAATCTCTCAGTATCCTTCATCCCTTTCTTGTTTCCTGGTTCACTTTGGCAAGAAGAAACGTTGCCATTCCTATTTGCCCTTAAGCTTGCAACACCACCAAGACCATTCCCACCACTTTGTTTAGATCCAACAAGGTGATTAAGGTTATTTTGATCAGGCCCTTGCCCCCCACTAGAACCAGATGTGGCATTTGTGCTATTACTACCACAATTCTCATTTTGATTTTCTATTTCAGTCTTGTAAAAATCAAACAACTTTCTCAATTCAGCTTCAATCCAGCATCCATATTCTTTTGCTTTTCCTTCCGACTCTGAATACAATTCCCCAAGAAGGCAATTTAAATATCCCATTTTTTGACTAGGATCCAACACCACCGCAAAAAAAATGTTCTTATGCATTTTTGTTGGATCCCCCCTATATTTTGCAAACTTCTCCTTCATGTTCCATGCCACAGCAGCTAAGTCATCCTCTTTGGAGCTTTCCCATTTGTTTATAAGAGTATTAATCTCACACAATTCATGTAACAATAAATTAATAGTACAATACCAGCTCCCACTCACCTATAGGATAAAAATCATGTAATATAACACTTTAAAATATGCCAACGATTACAAAAATTAATTAAAAAGTGATAATAGCTAGCAAATCTTTTTTTGGGTTAAAACTTGTTTATGGTTGTTATTCCACAACTTTGAATCTCTAATCAGTTTGGGTCCATTAACTATTTTCAAAAAAATAAAAAATAAAAAATAATCAGTTTGGGAATTAATGCAATAGGCCCAATTTTTTAAGACTATATTTTGGCTACTTGAAGACAATACATATTTTTTAAGACAGTGCAATTTTTTAACAAGACAGTGCAAATTTATTACTAACATAAACACACAACTTCCACCAAAAAAAAAAAAAAGGGGGGCGGGACAATATACCAAAGCAGGAGAATTAATGGTCATATCAAGAGCCATAAATCTTCGAAATGATCCAGAAACTCCAGCAGAGCCTTTTAGAAAGTTTAATGCCAGAAGAAATCATAGGAGGACGTCGGTAATATCTAACTTGGTTTTAATTTCAGAAACAGCTTTGGAATTCGATAGCAAAACAAAAGCCAGAGGAAATCAATTCACAAAATAAGAAATTAAATTTATTTAAAAGCTCATTTACTAAAATTAAACTTTACCTTCAAAGCAAACAAATAGAAATGCTCAAGGAATCTAGTTAGTCTTCTGATGTTTTCCCAATCCTCAAAGTCTGGAATTCCAGGAGCACTTGGAGCATTCAATTCATCTTTGAATGTTTTTTCTTGCCTTGAGAGCCTATTTCACATTTAAAAATTTTAAAAAAAATCAAGTTTAAAAAAAAGAAAAAAGAAAAATGAAAATTTAATATAAAAAATTTATCTAGAATTAATAATTTGTATGTTACCTAGCAAATGCTTATTCATACTTCTCAGCCTTTTGCAACATATCATTAGATGAGTTCCACCTATGGCGAACATCTAAGCACACATTCTTTTTGAAATCAATCTCCTCGAATGCAACCGCATCCTTAAAAGTTTTTACCCTTAAAGTGCTTTGCCTAACCCACTTGCAACAAGCTCTTACTGATTCCACAGAATTGTTGTATAGTTTCATACCATCATGGACAACTCAGTTTGCAATGTGTGCTACACAACGCATATGCAAATCCTTCCCCCGTAACACACTAGTCCCCCATTTGTTAAGGCATTCTCTCAATGACCTAACCAACACATCATTTGCACTAGCATTGTCAATAGTAATACAATAAACCCTATCAATGGCCCCACTCTTTTAAGCATCTCTCTAACATATCCCCTAAGTCCTCCCCTTTATGACTATCCATAGGGACAAAGCACAATATCTTCTTTTACAAATTCCAATTATCATCAATAAAGTGAGCAGTGAGAGACATATAAAAGATTTTATTTTGTGAAGTCCATGTATCCGTAGTTAAAGAGACTCTCATCTTCCTATCCTTAAAGAATTTGGACAAATCATCTCTAAGGTCACAATATAAAGCAAGGATATCTCTTGTGATGGTTCTCCTAGATGGAGGTTTAAAATGTTGTGGAAGACATACTTTACAAAAATGTAAAAATCCTTCTTTTTCAACAAAACTGAAAGGTAACTCATCTAAAATAATTATCACAGCAATTACCTTCCTAGATGCCACTCCATCAAACTTCCACTGTGCTAAATGCACTGCCTTACCTCCATCAATAGTTGTAAACTTTGTCAACTTCAATTGTGCTTGTTTTTTCAAATTTTCTGGATTTAATTTGCACCTAGTTATGTGTTTCTTAAGGCCTGAAGTCCCATTATTTGAAGAACAAGCTCTTATGACAGCACTACACCATTTACACCTCCCCTTTTGTTTCCCATCAGGACCAATAAAGCACACAAAATATTTCCAAGCTTCAGAAGTTTTACCCCTTGGTTTCCGTTGAGTGCCTTGAGGTTGAGATTGTTCATTGACCTCAGGAGGTTGATTCTTCTGAGAAACTCTTCCCCTTTTTTTGGTTCTATTTGTTGTGCTTTCTTTAGCTCTAGTGATATTCCCCTCACTGCTTTTACCAAGACTATCATCAATATCATCTTCCTCGTCATCTTCCTCTTCCTCCTCTTCTAAGTCTTCTTTATATTCCTCATCATCTTCCTCTGTTTGCTTTCCTTTGGTCTTTTTCATTTCTTCCATCCTTTTCTCCTGGCTTTCAAATTCTTCCTCCAAATCATATCTTAGTGGAGGTGCCTAAGCATTAAAAAATATTGCAAGAATTTAAACATTAATTAATAGTACATAAGATAGGGAGGGAACATAAGAAATTTAATGTATATGCAAAGCACATATATACCAAAGAATTAAATTCAGATAGTTGTTCTCCTCTTGGTGCTCCCTCTACTGATTTAGAAGGGTAACTATTCATTTAAATTCTTGAAGTTGACATCATTTATAACATTCTGTATTTAAAATAGAAGAGACATGTCAATTGTCAAATAAAGAAAATAGAAACTAAACAAAAAAATTCAAACGGAAAAAGTAAATTAATTGACTAAAAAGAGGGAAATAGAGCAAATATCTATGACAAATAAAGTAAGTAGAAACTAAATAGAAAAATTCAAAGGAAAAAAAGCAAATAAACCAACTAAAAAAA